TTATAACCTCACTACTGTTTTCTCATTGACCAGACTGTGACAGCAAACAGCTCAGAGAAAGTTAACTCCAAAAGGAGGGAAAGCAGAAGGCCGCGGGTCCCGGCGCATTCTGGGAAAATGTAGTTCCGGAAGTGGGCGAGCGCGCGAAGCACTTCCCGGTCGGAGGCCCTTCTGCTCCGGAAAGGCGAGGCCAGTTCCGAGATTGCCCGGGGGAGGTGAGCCAGCGATCTCTTCGACCCCGGGCCCGGCCCGCGGTGGGCGGTGAGTCGTCTGTGGCCTGAGGAAGAGAAGCCAGGGACGCAGGACTCGCGGAAGTGGGCGAGCGCCGAAGCACTTCCCTTGAGGGATTCTGGGAAGTGGAGTCCAGGGGCGGTCGGAGGCCCTTCTGCTCCGGAAAGGCGAGGCCAGTTCCGAGATTGCCCCGGGGGAGGTGAGCCAGCGATCTCTTCGAGCCCCGGGCCCGGCCCGCGTGGGCGGTGAGTCGTCTGTGGCCTGAGGAAGAGAACAGGGACGCAGGACTCGGTGGGAGGTACGGCGGCTGGCGAGCCCGCGGCGGAGCCTCCGCGTTGCGGGCGGCGTTGAGTTTGGGGTCCCGCGCTACCCGTTTGTCGCCAGCCCTCCCCCGCAGGCAGCCACGCTGCCTTTCTCGCGGAGCGGACCGGGCGAGTGCCCGCATCTCTTGCCTCAGTTTCCTCGTGGAGGTTGCCGCGTGATGTTTAATGTGAGGTTTGCGTGTGTCAAACGCTGGGGACGCGGGCGCCCGCACACGGCCGGCTCGGCCGCATATGGGCGCTGGTCGGAGCCCCGGAGCCACGTGGGTGGAGCCCGCGTCGCACCGGTCCCCGATGCGGGCCTGGGCGCTGCCGGGGGTCGCGGACTGGCTTTATTTAGGAGGGAGGGAGACCGCGCTTCCCGCCGGAGCCGGGTGAGGCCTCCGTGCATCCAGCCAGGTCCGCAGGGGCCCGGGCCTTGCGTGTCTCTCTGACACCATTTCTTGCAGAGTCCTCGGTTTTTGTTGGGCATTAACTTCATGCACCTGGGAAAACACATCTCGTCTCCTCTGTCCCCAGGTTCAGAAGGTGGACAGGAAGCATTTGGGTTAGGACTCTTGTGTGGTCGGTTGATGAGCAAAGGCTGCAAGCTGAGGGGTCCAGGGGCAGCTGGAATTCAGCTCCCCCTCCTCACTAAGCCATGTGCAAAACTCCAGCGAGAGTCATGTGCTGCTCATCTGGACCAGCTGCATCCCCAGCGTCTCCCATGATGTCTTTTCCCTCCCCAGTGTCGCCTCCCCAGAACGCTGCCCTTTTCCAGAAGCAAGAGGAGAACAATGACCAAGGTCCAGGTAAGTTGGGTTTGCCTTTCTGGTTTTTATTGATTTGTTTTTGCAGCAGTGCGGTTTGAACTCAGGGCCTCGCATTTGCTAGGCAAGCACTCTACCACTTGACCCACTCCACTAGCCCTTTCGTGTTGGTTATTTTTGAGAGAGGGTCTCCCTTTTTATGCCGGGGTTTGCCTGGATCACTATCCTCCTGTTTGTGCTTCCTCAGGCAGCTGGAATAACAGGTACTTGTCACACACCCACCCCTTGATTTTGCCATTTTAAAGATACTTGCCCTGATGCTTTTCCTACATAACTTTTCCCAATTAGGAATTCTGGGGATTCTACTTGTTGTTCTTAACTTCTAGAGAGTCCTAGCTTTCACACGTGTGCTGCTTCACTTTGTGGAAGGAACTAGGTGATACTGAACTCAAAAGTAATTTCAGTTGTTTCAAACGAGAGTTTTTTTCCTTTAGTACTAGGATCAATTCATGTGTTATAGTATTTTGTTTAATTTATTAACGTATCAGTTATTTTAAGTTAATACATGCTTAGATGTTTGTTTTTGTTGTTGGTGGTGGTGGTTTTTTGGAGACGGGGTCTTACTATGTAGTCCAGGCTGGCCTCCGTCTCACAGTCCTCCAGCCTCAGCCTCTCAGGTGCTAAGACATAATTAATTTTAAACATCTAATAGCTCCGAGGGGATTTGCTAGGCATTTACTCCAGGGAGCCGCGGGTTGAGGGTCAAGGTGGTTCTACCAGCATTTTAAACATGGGGGACATGTTCGGAAACCTCCAGACAGTACTGAGGCTCACTCAGTGCCAGCGGACACTGAAGTTTCCAGTGCCTACAGCAGGTGTTGCAGATGTTCCATTCGGGTGACAAAACCCAGAAGAAAACACAGTCCTCAGTTCAGGGCCTGGAGCCAGGTTGCCTGTGTCCTGGCATGTCCTGGTGGGCAAAGGCTCCAAAATGACATTGCCCCTCACCTGGCTCCCTTTCTAGTGCCTGGCTCTTCACCAGATGTGTCAGCTGGTCTTGTACACGGCTGGCTACCCAGAACTCCAACCAAAACAGATGCAGAAGTAAGAAGTCTTTAGATGAAAACCAGTTTCTATGCAGAAGAGCACTGTGCACAGTGTTAGACGCAAATAATAGGGGTGGGTGCGGGAGTGAGGAATTGTACATTCTTGAAAGAGGGCTAATCTGCTGGATAGAAATCTTCCTGATTTGTGTGATACTCCCAGTAGGACAGAGGAAGTAAATGAATAGGCAAAATGTGAAATAATCTTTTCTTAAAATAAAATAGATTGGAGCTGGAGGTGTGGTTCAAATGGTAGAGCACCTGCCTCACAAGCACAGAGCCCTCCGTTCAAAACACAGTACTGCCAAAAATAAATGAAATGCAAGTTTTGAAGAAGAATTGTTTTTATCACTGACCAAATTACCCAAGGCTTATAAAATAAATAAATTTCCACTTTTGGCCAGAGCTGGAGAATCAGGAATAATTATAGCTTTTTCGAGGACAAATTAATTAGGAAAATTGCCATTATGTTAATAAATAAAGGTGCATATTTTTATGACAGTACAGTTTCCATTGGAATTTATGCTAAAGAAATAAGCAGTCAAGTTTGCTGAGAACTATGTAAAATTTTAAAGTTTAAACTTATTGACCTATGCAATGCTTTTATGGACTACTGTGCAGCCATGAGTGGGCGAAGCAAATGGTGACAGTGTTGATGGCTGGGAGTTACTGTGTATCACACACCATCCTGAGTCCTGTGTGGTTTTACTCATCCAGTCCTGACATAGGAGATGTTATACAGATGAGGGAGATGAGGTAAGGAGAAGTGAGATGACTTGTCCGAGGTCCCAAAGCAAGTAGGGGACAGAGCCTGGGAGTGTGAACGGAAGCAGTCAGGTTCCAGAGCCTGTGCTCTTAACCTTGCCCCTGAGTGCTGCTGCAGTTGAGAGACGGGGAGTGTTTCTGAACACGCACAGTGAACGGCACACCTGCCCCAAGGGTTACTGAAGGCCTGTTAGATTGGCAAGCACTGACAAAATGGGGGTACAAGTTCAGCATCCCTTATCCAAATGTGGGGCCCTGAAGCATTTCAGATTTCAGAGAATTTTGGAATATTTGTACGGGCTTTATTGGATCAAGCACCTGGAATCTGAAAAACAAAATGCTCCAAAATTGAATACTTCTGAAATTGTCAGATTTTGGAGTATTTTGGATTTTTGATAAGGTACACCCATCAGTATAAAATTAAGCAAAGAATTTCTGACAAGATTTGACACTCTCAAAATGTAAACTTGTCAACATCATGCGTTAACAATGATAGTTCTAAGTGCACCTATGTTAAGGCCACCATGTTACATGTATCAGTATTTTTCTTTTTTCACTCACCTCCTCCAAACACCATTTTTGCTATCATTGTGGAAAGGGAGGAATAGGAACTCTACTGAAATAGTTGCTGGATTCCCAGCGGCCATTACACGTAGGATTTGAGATTTTATGTGCCATGTTTGTAGGAGGTGGTGACATTCAAGGAGGTGTGACATTCAAAGATGTGGCTGTGGTCTTTCACCAAGGAGGAGCTGGGGCTGCTGGACGCTGCCCAGAGAAGGCTGTACCGTGACGTGATGCTGGAGAACTTGAGGAACTGCTCTCAGTGGGTGAGGACGGGCATTCCTGTGTCACACAGCATCACCCTTGAACAGGATTTCTCAACCATGGCGGTATTGACATTTGGGCTGAGTGATGCTTGTCGTGGGGCCCAGCCAGTGGCATTTTGGGCAGTTCATTCAGTAGCATCCTGGTCTCTGCCCACTATCTCAAGTCAGTGGAACTGTCCAGAGACCAGAGTTTTCCAGTTCATTTGGGGCACGGAGACATTGCTGATCTTAGTTCAAGGCAACTCATCTTTTTGCAAATGAATTATACGGGTTTGAGTTTAGCGTTCCTTGGTCCTTATTTCTTACACCTTTTTAAACTTGTAAGTCATGATCCAGTGGTAGGTCCTGGAGTTTAGTAAATTGCATCAGCATTTGTATAATTAAGTAGAGTGACAGTGTCTGAGCTCCTCAGCAGCTCTTTGTGGTTTTTGTGGTCCTGGGGATTGGACCAGTGGCCTCCTGCATTGCTAGGCCTGTGCTCTAGCCACTTGAGCCTCGCCCTTGGTCTTTTTTATTACTACTTTGATTTTGAGACAGAATCTTAATAACTGGATGGCTTGAACTTGGGATGCTCCTGTCTCTGCCTCACAAGTAGATGGGATTACAGGTGTGCACTACCTTGCCCAGCTCTTAGAGTTGCTTTATGTTGTAGCTATTATTATAACTGCTTGCAGTAAGGAATATGAGACAGACAATGAGATGAAACAGAGATTGGTCAGAAGCAGATAGTTGCACCTCGGATTTTCAGTAGACCGCATGTGATAATAATGTATTTCTAATGTTCCTAAATGTATTCCTGACATGGTGTCATGATAAAAATGTTTGATAAATGCTGCTTGAGGAGTGCAGGGTGGAGCCTTGTGCTGAGGGATCAGAGCCAAACCTTTGCAGTAACTCTGTCTTTAGCATTCTCACTTAAACCCTATCTTCCACAGGACATCAGTCCTTCAAACCAGACATGATATCCAGTTGGAGAGGGAGGAAAACTTTGGATGAAGGAGATCCAAACCCAGGCAGGTAGGCGCTCAGGTGAGACTGCAGCTGGAGTCAGAGGTAGCAGTCCAGTCACTCTGCAGGATCTCCTCTCACGGCAACCCAAGGGACTCTGAACGCCAGTCTTTCCTTCCCTTTCACTCAGTAAAATGCAACCTTCTGATGGGGTTTTTAAGGCTGTTACAAGGACCTGCTCCTCCCCTGGCTTTACCATCCTATGTTTTTTCTCCTGTCACTTCCCTTTTCCTCTGTCTTGCCAGATGACTGCTTCCTCCAAATGACAATTATGCCTCTGTTCCAGAGTCTTTTGCTTTCTTTCCTCTGATAGAATGCCCTTGTCCAGTAAACCTCCACACACTCCTACTTCATTTATCTCTCTACCCACCCCCTTCACTGGTGTCCACACTGGAGAATCCTGGTGTGCGTTCTTGTCCTTGATTTTGTAAAAGAGTGTACTGATGGTCCAAGGGGTTTCACTCTTGGCGTTTCAGACTTGTATACATTGTACTTCAATCAGATTAGCCCCTCCCTTGTTACTTACTCTCTGTCACCTGCCCCTCTAATATTCAGCAGCTTACGGTGCAGTAGTTATGTTATATTCTCATATAGATTGGATGGTTCAGTATTTTCTATGTTCTGTTCAGTTCATTTGCCCATTTTCTGAGAGGGTTGTTAACTCTTTGAGAGGTTAGTTTTTTGAGCTTCCTGTGTATTCTAGTTATTAATCCCTTGTCAGATGTATAGCTGGCAAAGATTTTCTCCCATTCTGTGGGCTGTTTCTCCAGTCTGATGACTGTTTTTTTGCTGTACAGAATAGAAGCTTTTTAGTTTCTGTCCCACTTTGTCAATTCTTTCTCTTAATTGCTGAGCTATTAGAATTTCCAATCATGAAGTTATTACCTATGCCTGTATGGTCCAGTGTGTTCCTTTTTTTTTTTCCTTTATTGTTGTACTGGGTGGGGTTACATTGTGGCATTACAAGGGTTCTTACAATATATCAAATATATCATACTTGAATTCACCCCTTCCACTGCTCTCCTTCATCCCCCTTTCCCCGATTTCTGGAACAGTTTCAACAGGTATCAGTTTTGCATCTACATGCATGCGTACACATTTTTTGCACTGTATTCACCCTTATATCCCCTTCCCCCACCACTCCCTTCCCACTGGTGCCCCTCCCACCACCTCCTTGGGCAGGACATGTTCTGCCTCCTGTTCTCTGGTTTTGTAGAAGAAAAAGAAAAGATGAAAAGAAAAACATGGTAGTTTTGGTTGTTTGAGATAAGATAACTAAATAGGGAGTTTCCTTGGGTTGTTCTCATACATATATGTATTACAACCCCAATTGGTTCATCTCCTGTATTCCTCTTCACTGCTCCCTAGTCCCCTTCCCATGGTGGCCCCAACCAGATTAAGATTTCTGTATTCATTCCTGTACAGAGAGCTCATCTACCACATTCAAGTTTTTGTTTCCTTCCCTTGCCCTATCCTTCCCATGCATAACCCTCCCTTAGTGTGACCAGTGTTCCATAGTATTGCACAGTTATTTTTAGGTCTGTTTTCCACATATGAGAGAGAACTTGCGACTTTTGGCCTTCTGAGCCTGGCTAACTTCATGTTAAGATGATGTTCTCCAGTTCTATCCATTTATCAGCGAATGGAAACTTCATTCTTTGTGGCTGAGTAAAATTCCATTGTGTACAAATACCACATTTTCTTAATCCATTAGTCATAGTGAGGCATCTTAACTGTTTCATAGCTTAGCTATTGTGAATAGTGCTGCAGTAAACATGAGTGTGCAGATACCTTTGTTGTAACCTGACTCACATTCCTTCAGGTATATCCCTAGGAGTGAGATTGCTGGATCATATGGCAGTTCTATTTTAGTCTTTGTAAGGAGTCTCATACTGTTTCTATAGTGGTTGTACTAGCTTACATTCTCACCAGCAGTGTATGAGTGTTTCCTCGCCAGCATTTGTTTTTGTTTGTGTTCTTGATGGTAGCCGTTCTAACATGAGTGAGGTAGAATCTTAACATGGTTTTGATTTGCACATCCTTTATGGCCTGGGTTGGTAAGCATTTTTTATATGTTGTTTAGCCACTTGGACTTCATCCTTTGAAAAAGCCCTATTCAGTTCATTTGCCCATTTCTTTATTAGGTCATTGATTTTTGGAAATTTAGCATTTTTGAGTTCCCTGTATATTCTGGTTATCAGTCCTTTGTGTGATGTATAGCTAGCAAAGATTTTCTCCCATTCTGTTGGTAGTCTTTTCAATTTAGAAGCCATTGTTTTGGTTGTGCAGAAACTTTTAAAATTTCAAGTAGTCCTATTTGTGGATCCTTTCTATTGGTTGCTGAGCCAATTAAAGTTCTACTGAGGAAGTCCTTGCCTATGCCTATTGCTTCCAGAGTATTCTCTGTGGTTTTCTTTACTACCTTCAAGGTTTCAGGTCTTATATTAAGGTCTTTAATCCACTTTGAGTTGATTCTTATACAGGGCGACAAACGTGGGTGACGGGGTGACACCCTTGCTCATTCTTTACTAAAAGAAATAGTTTCAGTTTTTCCTTGTTTAGTATGATGTTGGCTATAGGTTTGTCATATAAGGCCTTTATAAAATTGAGCAGCATGTCTTCTGTTCCTAGTTCCTTCAGAGCTTTTACATGAAAGGATGTTGAATTTTGTCAGACTTTTGTGTGTGTGTGTTGATAATGATGATACAGTTCTTGTCTTTGATTCTGTTTGTGTGTTGTATTACCTGTTGATGTGTGCATGTTGTACCATCCTTGCATCCCTGGAATGAAATCTACTTCATCATGGTGTGTGATCTTTTAATGTGTTGTTGGATTCTTTATTGAGGATGTTTTCTATGTTTATCAGGGATATTGGCCTGTAACTTTCTTTTTTTTGATGCGTCTTTACCTGGCTTTGGTATTATGGTAATACTAGTTTTGTAGAATGAGTTTGGTAGTATTCCTTCCTTTTGTACATTATGCCATAATTCGAGAAGCATTGGTGTTAATTCTTCTTTAAAGGTCTGGTAGAATTCAGCTGTGAATCCATCAGGACCCGGGCTTTTCTTGGTTGGGAGGTTCTTTATAACTGTCTCAATCTCATTTCTTGATATATATCCGTTCAGATTTTTCATGATTTCTTGGTTCAATTTTGGTGAATCATGTGTGTCAGGAAGCTTATCTCTTTCTTTCCTCATGTGAGCATACCATTTTTGTCCATTCACATTTGAAGGACCTTTTAGTTATTTCCAATGTTTGGCTGCTATGAAAACTCACATACAGGTTATTTTCCTCTTGGGGAGTGGGATGGAGGAGTGGAGTTGGCTGTATTACGTGCTGGGTGTATGGCTAACCTAATAAGAAACTGCTGGCTTCATCACAGTGGCTACACCAGTTTGCCCCCAATCATGTATGAGAGCTCCAGTTCTGTGCTTTGTTTTAGTGATTCTGGTGGATGTGTAATGGTATTTTCCTGTGGCTTTAACAATTATTAGTAGTTTTAAATATCTTTCAAGCTTGTCTTCACCACTTGTGTATTTTCTTTTGTGAAGTATCTGTGCTCTAAACCTTTGCCCATTTAAAAAAAAAAAAAGGTCTTACTGAGTTGTAAGCAATTCTTTTGTGGATCATGTCTGTGTTGTATCTAAAAACTCATTGCCAAACCACATTTGCATAGATTTCCTCATTATATCCTGGGAGTTTTATAGTTTCGTGTTTTATGCTTAGGTTTATGATCCATGTTTTCTTTGTTTTCGAGACAAGATCTCACAATGTAGCCAGGCTGGCTGGCCTGGAATTTACTATGAAGCCCAGGCTGGCCTTGAACTCATGATCCTCCTGCCTCAACCTCCTGAGTACTGGGATTATAGACATGGGTTACCACACCTGGCTATGATCCATTTTAAGTTAAATTTTTTGGAGGTACTGGGGTTTGAATCAGGGCTTTCTGCTTAATAGGCCTCCAGCCATTTTCTCTTTGGTTTTTCTTTGTTTGTTTGTTTTTGAGATAGGGTCTTGTGTTTTGCACAGGCTGTCCTGGACTTTGACCCTCCTATTTTAGGCTTCCCACTGTACCTTGGGTGACAAGAACGCACCATCGCATTCCACCCTTTTCTGTTCAGATGTGGTCTCACAAACTTTTTTTCCCGCCTCATTGGCCTGGAAACACAATCCTTCTGATCTCTGCCTCCCAAAGAGCTAGGATTATAGGCACCATTGGCGCCTGACCATTTTAAGTTCATGTTGTTTGTGACGGCACTGGAGTTTGAACTCAGGGTCTCCTGCTTGCTAGCAGGTCTTCTTACTACTTGAGCTACTGTGTCAGTCCTTAATTTCTTGAGAAAGGTTTAAGGTTTAGATCTAGATTCAGTTTGTTTGTTTTTTTTTTGCACATGAATGTACATTCACCTTATTCCAATACCATTTGTTGAAAAGATTGTGTGGTTGTGTCTTTGTTCTTTTTATTAAAGATTTGGTGACTACATTCATGTGGATCTTTCTTGGGACGATTCTGTCCCATTGGGCTACATGTTCTTTTGCTAGTGCCACATTGCACTGATTGCCTTGGCTTTATTTATAGTAAGTCTTGAAGGTGGTAATATCTGATGTAATTCTGATGTTGTTGCTTCTGTAAGTAAGTTGGCATTTTTCTCTTGCAGCTCTCAATATCCTTTCTCTGTTCTCTAGATTTGAAATTTTAAGTATAATGTTATGTGCAGTTTCTTTTCTGGTCCAGTCGTTTTTGGGTTCTGTATTTGGATGTTCATATCTTACCTAAGAGTTGGGAAATATTCTGCCATAATTTTATTGAATAGCTTTTTGCCTATAGTTTGTATCTCAGCTCCTTCCGTCCCATGGATTCTGAGGTTGGGTGTCTCCATCGTGTCCCAGAGTTGTCAAAAGTTGTGATCATGCTTGTTGAGTTTTTTTTCCATTGCTTTCTGAATGTAGAATTTCCTTGACCTTGTCTTCAATTTCTGATATTCTTTCTTCCACATGATCTAGTCTAT